AATAATAATAATAATAATAATAATAATACACATGACTACAATCATAATATATGCTGTATGAAGTACGATTTGTAATTTGCCCCTCAGACACTCGAGTAATACTACGGCCAATATTGAATGTTCAAACACAGAACGTGTTTATGTTTATGTTAATTAGTCTCTAACCGATGGTAGCCCGCGAAATCTCTGGCTGGCTGTGGCCGCGGATGTTCTTTTTATTGAATGAACATATTCTGTTTTATAAATAAAACTCTAATCATATTGTATGGTGAAAATGATATATGGTTAATCATATATCCGCATATTTATTGTTAAAATGAGGAATTCACGCTTAGTTAGCTATAATAAATCGACTGATCAGATATATGATAGAACGTGTGGTTATAAGGCAGCAATTGACAAGATATCTTATATAAATGTAGACTACATTCTCGTTTCTGCTGCATACTATAACGCAAATTATGCTTGATTGGTTATTTGTTTTATCTCTTTGAAATGCTGAGTATACTGACACGGAAGCAGAAAAATGACACGGTCAGCGATCTATGTGCCGGTATCCCAAGAGATAATATAATATACTAAGTGTCTTGTGCACTCCGATGAAATTACTGTACTGAAACATTCAATTTTCAACTCATCTATTTTCTCTCTTTGATGCTATCCGATGGTTACACCCATTTATCTATTTTCAATTCAATAAGTTATATTTGTATGTTCGGCTCGCTGGATTATCACTCGATGGTATAACCTGGTATTGAGAATTCAATTGCAAGAATATTTAACATAGAATGATGCCAATGTTGTTTCTACTGTGTTTTGTAAAACATGTCTCCAAGTCTTCACAATTGGGCAGTGACTACAAAACCTCCATGAGCATTTCGAGTACTTTCGAAAATATGCGTTGGCAGCTTCAATAATTGAAAACTTCACAATGTGGTTTCATCAAAGAAGAAAACAAACTAACAAGAATAAAAAAAACACGAGTGATCGAATAAGTTACCAGACATTTTCTTGAATTACGGCATTCGACTATACGCAACTAAAGAAACTGAAAAATTGTTGGATCGGTGGTCCCGCAGGTTTTATGTCTAGGAAACCCTGCAGACTCGTCGGTATTATATCAAAGACAGTGTAATCCTTGCTTAGTCGTCAGCAATTTCATACCCAATTACCCAGACAGCGTGTAATCAATGAATTCAATCAAGCCTAACACAGTTTTCAACACGAAGCTGTTTGCAATCTGTAATGCCAATTTCCAAGTCATGTTCATGAAATGTACAGTGATCTATGAGTGTACACCCGTGTTATATTTTGATGCCGTAAACGGATTAGAGGCGATAATGCGCTCCCCATCCAGTGATTTAACAACACATTTGAATATGTACAGAAGTCAATAATATACAGATAGTATAGGCCGTTTACATGTAAGGTCACCGACACATAGAACATATGTGTTATTACAGAGACTGGCAAGCTAGACAATGTTCGCACATGTATTTTGTACTTTTCCTTTCAGGTATCCACCCAGTTTGGACAAGTTTACGATGCAATTTACGTTCTTGCCTATGCAATAAATAGAACATTAACAGCACATGGCAATCTGGAGACAATCAACGGTTTGGAAATTTCGAATTTCATGAAAAATCTGAATTTTGAAGGTTTGTCTGGTAACGTCAATCTGGACGAAAATGGCGATAGAACAATGTGCTACATTCTTCTCGACTACGATAAAGAACATGGTGCGTTCCAGGAAGTATTGAGAGTCAACTACTCCTCCGATGACGTCTATCAGGTCACAGCTGTCAGTGGCGTTAGTATCAACTGGCCTAATGATGTGGTGTTGTCGCCTGACGCTGACTGCATGTTCATATTCGAAGGATGTGACACCGATGATGTTGGTGGGTATATACTTATTATGAATAATTATAGTCTATTCGCATTCGTACATATTAATGTACGAAAGCGCATTTGAAATATTATATATATAATATTTGGAAAATAACAGAATTTATTCAGATCGATGGCTATTAATTCTTTTACAGAAACCTATTGGGTATTTTTATATGCTATTTTCCCATATTATATATTAAATCACTAAGTTTTCCCTTTCTTAATTGTCGGTCAAAGTATTTTTATATGTTGTATTCCAGGTTCTATTTACATCATCGCTATCGGTGTATCCGCTGTATTATTCGCGTGTTTATCAATAGGATTCTACCACGTTGTAAGGTAGGTGCCCAAATGTTACGTCACTGTGATTGAGATATTACCGAGAGTTGTACATATATGTAATAATCTTTCATTTTGAGATTTAATGGCAGTTGATGCACTTTTGTATTTTTGTGAAATGAGTTACTTTGTTGACGTTTTCCCATTATCGTTTCTTTCCACAGGCGATGGTCTTTAAAACACGAAATGGTAAAAGGACCGAACAAAATATTATTGTCCCTAGGCGATCTCCAGTTCGAATCTCCTAATAAGATTTTGTCTGGAAGCCGAAAGGTAAAAAATCGCAGTGTCTATGGATTCATGATAAATACGTGCCTTTTACAGAAAACAGTGTGTGGGTCATTTACCTGTTGTGCTTTATAATTGCCTGAAACGAGAGCTTTACAGTAACTGCGTATGAACCATAGATATGAGCACGCGTGGCAGAGAATTCCATCTACTTCGATATGTAAGGGCTAGCGTGACAATCGATTCTAAGCAATACGATGATCATAATAACAAGTATACTTGCAATAATAAAGCATACGTTACTCAAACAAATTCCGTGCATATACGAACTTATAACGCATATAAGCCGTGACAGCTATATATGTTCTCGTTCAATGGTGCATAAGTACACTCGACCGTTCTGATCTGCTTTTTACAGTTGCTAGATCCCGATAAAGAATCTAAACTGAACGGAAGTAAAGCGCTCAGTCCATCACCTGCACCGACGTCACATGTATCACCAGAACCGCGCATGTCTAGAAGTAGTAACATTTGTATCGACATGAGTGACCTCGCCCGGTACAATGTAAGTATAATGTTATTACAAACATATCGTATGCACTTGCATTACCAGTTCACATAGAAATACAGTAAAACTGAGTTCATGAAGCTCGTTATTGAAAAGGCGATAGCTGCTACTTTTTCAATATACTTTCATATTTGTAAAGAGATATTATTACCTAGGATACCGTGGTTACTTAGTAACTATTACGTGATGACAAGGCAATGATGATATGAGTTTTAGTTTACAACAAAATATACGACTATATTAAAACGGTGTCAACTGATGAACCATACCATACTACGAACTAGATAAAGTTGACCTACTTTCGATACACGGCGTTACAGGGTAATTTAAGGGTCTTATTACTAATAATACCTCATATGACGGAATTACGACGGGACAAACAAGGAGCGTCAGTAACAGCAACAACAACAATCAGTACTACAAAAACGGTAGCGACAATGACAGCAACATCAACACTGTGTTTATATCAAAAAACTGAAATTCAGTATGTATTTCCCATAGGGAGAGTTTGTACGAGTAAAGAAATTAACAAGCAAATATTTCGATATCAAGAACTCCACGATACGTATCTTAAGACAGGTAAGCGATCCATTTCAGTATGCGCACAATTTGTTTACGGGATTGGGAGTATGTGCAATTTGTTAAGCAGTGTCAGGGTGCCTATAAACGTAACATTGAGCGACGACTTTAGAAAACTTGTTGACGTAACCAAACATTCCAAATCGTGTTAATATATTTTACGTATGTAAATATGCCCAATTCTAATGTAGGGTTTAATTTCTTGCAGATTCGGGATCTTCGGCATGAAAACATCAACCCATTCCAAGGCTGCTACAAAGAACCTCAGAATACTGCATTGGTGACAGAATATTGCAATAAAGGGAGTCTCGAAGATGTCATCAACAGTGAAAATATCAAATTAGACTGGATGTTCAAATCGTCATTATTGTTAGATTTAGTCTCAGTACGTCAACATGATATTTTCTTTCTTTTCTGGGTTCACTTACCTGACGATATTCTTACGTTATACAATGTGGATAGAATGTATATGGAGGTGTATTTGCTTTATCGTATTCAGTAAGTTCACATCGCATCACAACACACTGCACTATGTACATCGTATATTATGTTGCATATTGAAGATACACGCTGCTTGCAAAAACAGCAATTGACACAAATCATCAATTATGGATACTAATAACGTTGTTGATAATGTCTCCGTGAGAACGTTTTATTAGAAACGTTTTTTCCATGTTACCGATATGTATGCAAGAGCACATTTGAAGATAAGGTTACAGTGAAGCAAATGTTACCTACTATGATACATATGAGTTATGACACCATCACTACAGATATGCTTCGTTTAATAATTTTCCCAATACTACAGGGGATGAAATACCTTCATAACAGTCCAATAAAGCTACACGGGCGTCTGAATTCTCGTAATTGTGTGATTGATAGTCGATGGGTTTTAAAAATAACGGACTATGATTTACCTGCACTCATTGAAACACAGACTAACTACCCAGAGGAACAACAACGTACACCGGAAGGTAAGTCGTACACCAAACTTATATATTCGACAAAAGCAATAAATATAATGCCCAATAGTAGACTTGTGAACTGTTTTAACGACTAGGATGAGTCGTAAAAAGCAGATGGTATGTTCATCAACGTTAATAGTAAACACGTCTTCGCATATTGTTCCATTTTTGGCGGTTTTCACTTCGTGCTTAAATCATGTTAAATTATATACCGTGCGCTAATGCCTTATCCAAACTATACATTGACGTAGTGGCGTCTAATTAAAGGAACAAAAAAATCAAATGTATTTGTTCGACCGCGAATAGATATAAATGACATAAAATGAAAGAACATCCCGTCATTTAGATTCTTAGCTTTGTCAACTCTGTATCTACGTTTCCATGTTCGTATTACAGAATCCCGTACGCTTATGAAGCCTTTTTTATTTATAATAATTTTATGCAGATTCGTTCATATTCTACATGTCCGAGACGCAGGCATAGTAAAATATCTGGTAATAATGATTAGTTGCATTTTCCATTGTATATTACAGCCAACAAGCCATTTTTACAATTTGTAGAAATATAACTGTCTTGGTTGTGCCATTCATCGTACACATTTTTTTAATTAAACGTATATCAATTTATATGGGAAGGCATAGACTCTATCTTAGGATTGCGTAACTCGCTTTAAAATTCGTACAGTAATTGGCGAAAATTTTGAAGCTATTGCTTCTAATTGAAAGTTACTTTATTGTATATGTTGGTCATTGTATATATTAGTTTATTTGAATCATAACAAACTAATCAGGGGTCTGAATCTGGATATACAGCGCTGAAAAAAATTATGATAGAATATGATAGAATATTTAAAAACAGAAATAGTCTCGGAATCACATCAATTGGTTTTATTTTTATTTTGTTTTTGTTTATTTCAGATCTATTATGGTCTGCTCCTGAAATGTTACGAGACCCTGTTTTAAGAAAAAAAGGGACACCAAAGGCTGATGTATATAGTTTCGCTATAATTGTATCTGAGCTACTAACTAGGGATCCGCCATTTGCTATGTTAAGTTTGACGCCAAAAGGTAAGCGACCAATCCTATATTATATTCAAGTAGATGGAAAAACGTAGCATACTAGCTTCTTCAATTTTTAGTTGAAAATAGTCTTCATTATTTGAATCTAGGTCTTCTGATTTCACGTTACGTGAGAGAATATCGCGCATGGAAATTATAAAATCAATGCTCCAAACAACATACATGTGTGGTTTTAATCATTTATTTTATGTTATTTTAGAAATCATTGCTAAAGTAAAAAAACCACCACCGTTATGTCGCCCGTCCGTATCACAGAACGATGCCCCGCGGGAAGTCATTGAGATTATGAAACAGTGCTGGGCGGAGTCACCTGACATGAGACCAGACTTTAACATGATTTATCAGCTTTTCAAGAAACTGAATCAAGGAAGGTTAGTGTATGCTCTCTGTTCAGTTGATTAAGACGGACAAATGTCATAAACTGGAAACATACCAACGTAAGTTAGAACCTATGTGTTTATTGTTGTTGCTTTATTGTAGGAAAACTAATATTGTGGACTCCATGTTCAAAATGTTGGAGAAATACTCCAATCACCTTGAAGATCTTATACGAGATAGAACAAAAGAATTAGCAGAAGAGAAGAAGAAGACTGACAAGCTATTGTATAGAATGATGCCAGCGTAAGTAACTATGCATGTCCAATCATAAATGGCGAACGACAGCGCTTATAAACTGTATATTACAGCGCCACCACGTCATACAAATTTACACTGTGACAGCAAATAGGAATTCACGTTATCATGCCATTCGCCAAAAGAATGTTCTCATCACCTGGTAAACATGTTAAATGTTATTGAAACCGGTATTATTGTGAAATGATAATATTTCTACATATCCACCCCCTTGTCTTTACAGAACCGTGGCGGAGAGTCTGAAGCTAGGGCGACCGATAGAAGCCGAAACATTCTCAGAAGTGACGATATTTTTCTCGGACATAGTCGGATTCACGTCGATCTCGGCGATGAGTACGCCCTTGCAAGTGGTGGACTTTCTAAACGATTTGTACACTATGTTTGACGATATATTAAGCAACTATGATTGTTATAAGGTAAGAACTGGTAACATCGTTGTTGTTAATTTGATAATAACAAATCGTTACTGGCAAACGGTGTTATTCGTTATTTGTTAATTGTGTGTAATGAGTGTCAATTCCACAATGTACGGGAAAGACATGGTTATGGAGTGCTACTTGAGTATGTTTTGTAATCATTTTCAGTGCATGTTATTTTGTTCACCATACTCACTATTGTGTAATTATTCTCCGACACAGGTAGAAACTATCGGTGACGCATATATGGTAGTTAGCGGGCTCCCGATACGCAATGGAAACAGGCACGCTGGTGAGATATCTACCTTGGCCTTGGACTTACTGCACGCTGCTGGCTTCAAATTCAAAATCAGACACATGCCGGAAAAACCTTTGAAACTTAGAATTGGACTTCACACGGGTGAGTGTATATAAAGTCATTTGTTATGTTCATATACCATACCAATATTGTTTCATCTATGTAGTGATTAACTAGATGGAAATGCCAACATGCGTCTTCAATATCCATATCAATTCTCGGAGCCATAATTTATGGTTGCAACTTATGGTTGCGTAGTTATGACAGGAAATATGTTTGATCCTTCGACCTTAACATCTAACCAGATCTTGTGGGTCACAAGGTTAACACGTATTTACAGTTTGACAGCATTGGCTAGTTTCCCATTGCGTTATATTTCGAAAATAAAACAACACATACTGTGAAATTGACCTTCGAACCTTTTTCCTGAAAAATAACTTGGATTAGCAGGTTATATGTATGTTGAATTTGAAGTAGATAGCTAGCTTTTCCTTTTGAATTTTATTGCAAGCATTTACACACATAGACTATTATCTTGACCTTATACCATTTGTCCATACGATGCGACCTGCTATTGCGAGTCACATGTGTTTAAAGTTTGGTAGAACCAACTTTTTCTTTGTAAGAAAGCATTAGTGTCGAGCTTAAAGGCGTTAGCTGTTCCCTTCTTGTAACCTTAACATTCAGTGCTAAAATTGTAACTACGTTTTTCGGGTCACAGGGGGGGGGGCATGTTTGTCAAGTTTGGATACGCTAGCTAATGTTGAGTTGTATTGCGAACACTCACACATGCACACGCACCACTGAACGTCCTTCCTGTATCAGCTGCATGCTATTTTAGGGCAGGCGCAGGTAATTACGGAGCGATCCGTTTGACATAACTGTGCGTGTTCAATAACTATAAGTATCCGTGTGTTTCCTCTGTTCAATAAAACCAGGTCCCTGTGTGGCAGGAGTGGTGGGGTTAACAATGCCGAGGTACTGCCTGTTTGGTGACACGGTAAACACAGCCTCACGAATGGAATCAACTGGGCAAGGTAGGCTGATAAATTTGAAATGAATGTTATTCGCATTCTGAATATCGTGACTTCGAAATTGATATGACTGACCAATGTAAACCGTCTCCCTTCCTCATCGACTTACAAGTGTTTACAGTTAAACTGTGTCTTTAAGTGTGTTTGCTTATTTCCTTCGAGGTGGACAGTCAGTCACTAATCATTGATAGAGCTGATAATGTTATAATTCACGATATTTCTACCTATATTGCAGCTTGCCGGATACACATCAGTGAATCTGTATCGAAAAAATTAGATGAACTTGGGGCGTATTACACTGAGCCCCGAGGTGAAGTTGTGTTAAAGGTACAATTCCATCACGTATACTGACGTGAACTTTATTTGATAGCTTACATATAAAAAAAATTATATCTTATAATCTCACGACCCCGTGAGTTTGGTTCACTTCCCTTGACTAACGTCCCCATTTTATTGTCAGGGTAAAGGTGTAGCGAGTACACATTGGTTGGTGGGTAAACAGGGATTTGAAAAACCTTTGCCGGAATACCGGCTATATCAAGACGATAACACGTAAGTATAAGCGAACAGATGTAATTATCGCTGTTTTGCGTCACACCAGGTGGGTAGCATCGAACACTACGGGTATGAAACATCAAAATAGCCATACGAAAGTGTCGGCATGAAAATTTCCCGAAGTCCAATAGGTCACGCATGAGTCGATTTACCTCTTTGTGCTGGCGTTTATCTACTAATGGTAAATTGAGTCATCAAGTGCTAATTTCGTCTCATTGATGAACCATGAGGCAAACAGCCTAAATGTTCAATATGTTCATTAAAACGTGCAATATAATAAGTTGACCTTTCCTATTTAATGGGCACAATGTATGACGCAGTTTTTTTAAAAGATCAGGTGAAGATGCATTACTATCCCAGGCGAATCGACACGATGGTATGTTCCTCATTCTAAGCATGATTGACGAGGATGAGAATAAGTTATATAATCCGATTTACGTATTTGTGTGTTGATAATATTAGCACGGCGTAATGAGCATGGAAATGGACATTCACGCATGCGCTGTAAAATCAATTTTATACATAAGTTATAAGTTTTATTCATAAATATTACAATCTCTTGTATGTTTGGAAAGCGATTCATGTGAGTGTGCTGGAATGTAACCAAAAAAAATACACCCACGCTTTTTATCTTGAACTTTTATAACACCCACAGGCTGCTACTTGACCTACTACTAACCCTGTTTTTAACAATGGCGTTAGACTTGCGTACAGTCTCTTGTTTATTTTTGGTGTTTTTTACCTTTGTAGACGCCCTCTCACGACATCGGTAATGATTGTCACAGGTTCAGTGCGTGATGCAATGATTGACAGGATAATTTATTAGAAACCGCAAGCTTGCATTTCACATTATTCTTTGAGACTTGTTATGATGGCATTGCAAGTCTACTAGGATACTGGGCTACGAGAATACGAAGATGTCGACGAAGCGTCATGTTTATTTCGCGGTAACCCGGATTTCGCCATTTATTCACTCCAATATTTTATTTTATTGAAAAAACATCAAAAAATAAACAAGAGACTGTGTGTAAGTCTACAATTGCATAGACGCTCGAAGGCATTCGGCCTCTTGATGTTTTACCAAAATAACTTTGCATGGATAGAAAACCCAAAACATTCAATGTCTAGTAGATCTTACATTCCTTTTCTAACACTGTTTTATTAACAATGACACCCATCTAACATATTGCTACTAACTAACACTCGATGTGTTTTGGCAATTTTTTTTTTTGCAATTGAATTTTTTTACTTACAGATTCTGACCACGCCCTCTAGTGACTAACAATCACAAACAGGAGCAACTTTTTGTCTTCCTATTTTTTGGAGATTTTTTTCTCCTTGGCACGATTTTTCATGTGTCAATCAAGAGTACACATATAACCAATCTGTGTGTGCTGTGGGATGAGTCATGGTTACCCAGTGGCTGAGAATGTGCTTTATGTTAATGATTGTTTCGCGTTACAGAGGATGTCAAAAGTAAGTAATATTTATCAAGCATGCCGTGTGAGTTAATAGCTGTCCAGGGCTTTAGAAAAAAATATACAGATCTGCGTTATAGTCGACATAAACACATTTTTGCTCTCTTTACGTTTTCGTTTGTGTTCGTAAAAAGAATTACTGGGAAATTATTTGAATTACGTCTTAGTCACATTGATAATCGTCAGTCGTCTTTTCAAGGTCCTATTATGGTGCAGTGCGCACGGGAAGGCGCGCTGACTCGTGCATTGTAGAGGGCGATAGAACACTTTTGGAGTCACTTTTCAAAATCGCCTCATAATGACAGAATCGTGGACTATAATGAATATAATAATTCACCGGTACATGATAAACAGTAAAAGTTTGGCTAATTACCCCCCCCCCCCCCACACACACACAGGGCACCGATCGTGACTCAATGAGGCGGTGCGTTCTCTCTATGGCCTATTCAGAATGCTATTTGGCATATTCAAGCGAGCACATTAAAGGGCGGCAGTCGTCGTGCGCGTCCTGTTCGATATGGAACTCATAGCGACGTATACAACGCGTGTAAAATACATTGTTCATTTACATGAAATTCGAACACGCGCCGCGCGACGACCACCGCGCTTTAATATGATCGGTCATCTCTGATCAAACTATTTGTCAACAGACAAATTTGATTTCATTTTATTTTTCAATGAAGGAAGTCAATCAATTCCACCAGATTCATTTAATTGCGTCATAGAAGTCTCTAATCAGAAACATGAATTGTGATAATAAGCATTAGTCTGACCATGTGAATACTATAGTAAAAAACTGATGAAAATATCTTACGTCATTTGTACTCCTAATGATGTAAGATGTTCTCATCGGATACATAGCACGTCATACGTCTTGCAAAGTGCATATTATGGTATATACACTAGTGTAATTAATTCCTTCACGTATATGCTGGTCGTAGGAATTTCTGTTATGGACTATGACAAATCTCATTTAGATATTCCACTGGATCATATTGAAAATATATAATTCAAAAAATAACCCTCCAATTCCATAACTGATTGTGTTCATTGCCATTCATAGAAGTATACCAGTGCCGTCACTGCCATCAACGTCAACAAGTCATGGTACCTCTCAGGTAAGCATACGAAGCAGCGTGACTATAGAGGGCGAAACACGAGAAGAAACGAGCTCCAGACCAAGTGAACTTGTCTCAACGTCGACTCTATTAGTACCATCGGCGACAAAAGCAAAGACGCGTAAACGATCTGTGGTCTCCAGCTTCGCGAACATGATGACTAGAACTTTTGGAATGGCAGCTGCACAAATTATGCGATCCAATTCACCCAAGCATAGAAATTCCACGTCGTGTGCTCCCATGGCTGCTGTGCCAGTCTCCGATGGATTAATGGAATCGAACCAGAATTCAGAAATCGTGCAATCTGTCACTGTGAGTGGTTCGAAAAAGAAAAGGTCGCTAGAAAACAAAATAACACCTAGCAGGTCTCAATCTATGACGGTTAACAACATATCATGTATTAGTGAGCAACCCACGAAAGTAAGCTGTGTATCCCCTGACATTGGGCCCAAAATATTATCAGGCAACATATCATCCGATAGTAGCAGTGAGCCTCCATCGGCCGAGAGAATACCTTCACCTGACAGATCGCCACCAACGATTGTGCGCATAGTTCAAGACTATGGTTCTAATTCGAGTTCGGAGACACACGTTTTACCATGTGATGCAATGCTAGGAACTGTAGAAATGAGTCAAGCCATTACCAAACCAAACGGTCTACACAGTCTTCAAGTTGACAACCCACCACTGGCGTTGGCATCGGCGAAAAAACAGAGCAACGACAGCGGAGCTTATTTCGATAGTCCTCCTCCGTCGCCATTGGAATCAACTGAAGTGGAGGAAGAACCCATCGCAGAAGAGAGAAAACATTCAGAAATTATTAACTTATTGGACAAACACGATCTTGAGAAAGGTGTCATACTGTCACCAAAAGTGAAGATGCGAAAGATTAATTTCGCCCAAGAACGTCTTCACGGAAAAGACGTTGACAGTTCACTAAAACACCCACGAGGGGAGCAGGGATCTCAGAGAATGAACAATGACAACAAACCAACGCACACACAGAGCAAGCCCACGGTTTCGAGCAATATCTCCTCATTCGGTGTGAACAAAAAACGAGAACACTGTAACGCTTCTATTGCCGAGAAAGGACGGCGGAAACCACGCACACAAAAAGTGTACGGACATAGAGTAATTCCCCTTGAGAAAAGAAAACGAGCACTTAAATCTTGAGAAAGATCGGAATCTTCTGTTGTTTTCTCACAGTAGTGCAATGTTTCGTAAATTCGGCAATACATTTGGCAAACAGCGTGCGTAGTGTTATTTTACTTAATGGTAATCAATTTATTTTGGCAGAAAAAAAGTTATTATTATAAGAATTTCACTTACTAAATGTATCACAAATTTATTATTTATACTACTTCTTTATAATTTATGTTGAAAACAACAAGTTTAGTATAACTTGCATTTCGTAATGACTTTTTAACGACGGAGTACAACCATATCATGTTTTGTTTGATGTTTAGCGAGTCACAACCCAGTTGTTAAATATTCGTCGAGCAAATTTCTTTTACGCGTTAAACGCTGATTAACAATGATGAATATTTATGAATACCGCATAGAGCCACACTACGTGCACATTACATTTACATTGACAATGCGTTATTTCGGACATGTACTGACATATAACCTCATACATATGTATGCGGTAATTTATTGATCAGTGTTAACATCGAACAAATAAATTATGCTAAGTGTTTTGTTTGCATTGCCGTGATACATTCACACTAACAACCATTTGACGCAACAAACAGTTTGGATTTGATGAATGAAAATTTTTCTAAAGTTAACACCGTCGCATTTGGACAATTATTTGTCCCCAGACAGTTTGAATGTTGTAAGTGTTCTTGCGATGTGCAATAAGTCGATTTAATCTATACAATCTGTCCTGGCTAATCGTCAGCTAAACTGCCCCTGTACATGAATAAAGCAGACACGGGAATGGTAATTTCATTTACAATATTGTAATATCAATAAAAAGTGCAATTATTTCTTTGGAATTTTTAATGACAAGTTTTACCTTGAAATGTATTGTTGTGTTTACCAGCAATAGCTTTTTATCTTTATTATTAAACTGGGCGACGACATCTTGAACAAATTGAATGTCGCTCGCTGCTTTTAAACAATGATCATGATGAAGTAATCGAAAGTACGACTTTTGACAAAAAATAATAAAAATATTCACTAAGCATAACGTACGGGACTTGTATATTCATTTACAGTGAGATGATATCCACGAAAAGTGCAATTATTTATTTAAAAATATGTAAATGGAAAACTATACTTTGATATATATTGTTATTTTAGATAATAAACTTAATGAAATGTGTTTTACAATCTCATTTGTATTCGTATTACGAGGTATGTAAGGTGGATGGATCCGTGGTACATCGTGGCCATTCCAGGATGTAAACTCATTCTTACAATTAAATAAATACAACATTAGTATATTAAGCCCATTTTATATGATATTTCAATCGTGTGCATGCGATGCAAAACTTAATATATTGCCAAATATTTTGATTTCAATTATTTCCATGGGATAACAAATTTAGTATTTTTTGGAAAATTTTTAATTCACTATCAGTATCAGTGTGTTTAAATTTCCGCGAATTAACATTATGGCATTTTACGTCTGTCAAATAACGGCCAAATAAATACGTGGAATCATTAATTACTAAAGACTTAGCGTAGAATTGGAAATTACTCCAAATAAACAAATGTCCAATTCGGGAACAGGATAATAGTATATTTGGTTATTGATGAAATAGTAGGGCGCCACCAGACGGTCTGGCTTAGCAAGTGCGTCGTGTTTCTCTCATGAAGTTGACGCTGATTGTGCACAAAGGAAGCCGCTCATCCCGCCATTGGATGGCGGCACATCGTGTATGTGGTGTTTACAAAGGATGAGGAGATGATCCATGGTAAATCGTGACCAATAATAAAATGAT